AAGCGCCGTCCGCCAACACAAAAAGCTCCCTAGAGCGCGTTGAACTCGTCGTCACAAACGAAGATATTGGTAGGAGCAGAACAATGTTATCGCTCGGCTCCGAAGCAAAAAGCTGGTATTCGTTGCACCGGCTGCCTTTTTATGCTCACGCTGTGATCAGCGGCAACTGGATGCAATCATCGCATGCCAATGTGCATTGGCTCGTTTAGTTAACACTCAAAGTGGATTGGTCTCTCTAAGCGAGATCCCAATTCGACAGTGACCGACTGAAAGGGAACCTATTGTGTCACTGAATTGGCAAATTGCAAATTTCGGTAACACTTTATTTTAAGTTGTCTTTGTTACACAGGTCACTTACTATAAGTACAATTAATTTTTGCATAATTGCATGCAAGTAACCCTAATCCTAACCCTAACCATATAGTAAGTACATGTAGTTAATTAATATTACTCAGTACTTAAATGTATAATTACACTGTAAGTGTAACCCATATTTCATTTTGTTATATGCAATTTCATTTCATATTTGTTATATGCATTTTTTCTACTTTTTTGTTGACAGACTGCTTTCTATACTATACAAAATTGAGAGACAAATCAGAAGAAAAACTAGACTGTAGCCACAAAATTCATTCCCTCGACTTAATTGGTGGCCACATTTTGTTTTATTGTTTGCTGAGGTAGTTATATTGTAACCATGTTGTACTAATTTGTTCCCTCAGTTTATATACTTTTAACAGCACGATCTCAGCAATTCGTACATATTTTACGAGGTGGCTAATTCGTACGAATTCGTACGACCTCACTCGTACAAATTCATTTTTGCTAAATTGTACGTATTTTACGAGTTCCACAATTCGTATTAATTTGTACAAATGACCTACACCTAACCTCGCCCCTAAACCTACCCGTCACTGGGGTCTAGACAAATCGTACAAAATCGTACAAGTAAGGTCGTACGAATTAGCCACCTTGTAAAATACGTACGAATTGGTCGTGAGATAGCGTTGACTTTTAATCACTATTAACTAGTTGCTTTTTAGGATGCATATTACTAGCATGTTGGCTGTTTATTAGTATTTATAAAGCACATATTAATGCCTTCTTCTGCATGACCATATTCTAGATCCCTTAATCATAACTATTATACTAGTGTAACGTTGTTTGTAGATCGGGAAGAAGGAGGCGGGAACCGGCGAACATTCAAAGAAACTTTAATACTAAAATAAACACAAAAATAGCGCGACAGTCCCTCGCGGACGACTGTCGCGCACAAACGAAACCAAAACACAAAATAAAATCCAGGCCTGGTCCTCTCTCGTCCAACACGGTCGTCACTCCTCCCTTTTATCCTTCCGGAGCTCCTCCGTGAGACTCGAGACCGGTGAGTGGGTGCAGGTGTCGCTCATTAGCAATCACTCCACCGGCCTCGCTCCGTTCCCACGGCTCTCGGCCCCGCCCCCCCTCGTCACAACTAGTATATTTCAAACCTTCTGAAGCTATATGATAGATTTCTGTGTGAAACAGACCTAGAGTCACATTGTTATTCACTTATAAGCTTCCCCTTCAATAAGCTGTTCACATCTGTGACCAGATCAGAGACAAATCAACTAATTCACTGAAAAGATCAGACGTAAGTATGATAATAGCTTACATTTTAGTCACACAAAGCTATTGTACTGACTTAAAAAGACATGTAATATTAGTTGAACCAATCACTTTTATGAAACCTCAAAGCTTTAGCCCACATCTCTTGTAATTTTATGAAAAAAGCGCATGGTATTATGCTCCTCAGATTTCCTCCTTGTGTGTTCCACGGAAGAAGAAAAACGTCATCACTGAGAAGAAAAGATTATTGGGCTTACCATGTGTATGTGTGTTTGTTTTTTTTTGTAAACTAGTATTTAGAGCGCAGGTCTCAGTGACCTGCCCTGTACAAAGAGCTGCAGAAGAACACAAGAACAGAGACTCCATCCACGCTGCAGGACAGAGAAATCCGCCCTCGACCAGAGTGTCAAACAGATGAGAGAAAAGGCCTCATGAAATAAAGATAATTTTCTCAATCTCACCGTAGCATGGCGCTGAAGTACAGAGAAGTCAGAAAGAGAGAAAGAAAGTGGCACTGGGGTGAGTTTTACAGAAGGTTAAAACATCCACAGGCTACTCCAATGAAGACACGCACTACTAAAGGAGCGCACATCAAAAGAAACCTGTGTTTTTTCTCCTATTCTGTGTGGTGCCTTTGCATATTTTATGAACAAAGGCTTTACAGGCCCGCTCTTCACTCAGCTGATGTATGAGTACAACTCATCCTGAAAAAAAAATGCTCCTCTCTTTTTCATTTTGGAGCCCTGTGTTTGTAGAATCCCAATTGTTTAAGCAGCGGTGCGGAACTGTACTAGCAAGTGGACATCTCTACCCAGCCTGAAGGGCAGAAGAAGAAAGAGTGGAGTCAGATCTGGTATCTCCACATAAAAGACCCCAAATGACCTATAGTTGCAGGGCCTTTAAAGACACAGATGACAATCAAAAGGACAAATGTGACTGGCTGTGGCATGGGAGCAATACAGGCCCCGCAGTTCTGTGAAGTCTTTGACCTGGTAGTTCAAAGCGCGCAATGGACCTTTGGACCTCCCTCTGAGAGCCCCAGACAAAGGCTTTGTTCATACTTAAGCAAAAAACACCGGCATTGTTCCCTTTGAGCCAAGCAGCACCTGTAGAAAGTGGAGAGAGCATGCTGACAGCGGGAAGAACAGGAGCACAAAGCGGCATTTCATCTGCTGGGATGTGAAATTACATTTCAGAGCTTCCTGACAGATGCATATTTTCTTCTTTTCTGTAAATGGTTCTGAGAGAGCCCAGCGGTTGAGCAGTTGTTGCTCTCAAAGAGTGAGTGATGTGTTGTTTTTGTAAATGATTTTCTGCACTCCCTCTCTGCTCTTCATATACGTTCAGGATAATATATTCCCTTGAGGGTTAGCTTGACGGCATGAGATTAGAAAACATAAAAACATCGATTATCTTGAAAATCAAGACGTTCTCCGCAGAAAAGTTAGTCATTGGTCTAGTTTGACATCTCTGGTGAAAGATATTAATTCTGCCATCTGTCAAAGGAAATGTGAATGTCAATTTATCAAAAAAAAGCATGTCAGAAAAAACCCATTAATAGTTGATCATCAGGTCCTAAGAAACATTCCCGTTCCTATCTGTGCACCATTAAAATTTTAAGTTAAATTTAAAAACCGTTGTTGATTATCGGTATATTATACATTTGATTGCAAAATGGATTGTTAAAATTAATTACGTTATTAAAAATGTAATCATAAAAAAGTGATTCTGAAGAAATATTATGAAATTGAAATTATGTGTAAAATCCAGTCGTTAATCGTCAGGTCCTAAGGCAAGTTCTCTGTTGTTTTTCATTTATGTACAAATTTTAAAAGGTAAAATTAAAACGGTAACACTTTAGAATGTTATCATCAGAAATTAGAAAATTGTAAATGTTATAATATATTATAAATCAAAATTGTATTTATAAAAATTTAATTGTATGAAATAAATAAATGTATTTAAAAAATAATCAATTAAAATGCAATCGCTCATGATCACGTCCTTATGAAAGTTCTCTGTTGTTTGTATTCCTGCACAGGTGTTCTGGAAAAATCAGTCTGTTTAAACTCCACGCGGCACGCCTGCTGATCACATAGGCTAATATTGTTCAAACCGGAGCCCACGGCCACTTTTTCCTTAAACATGTCCTACAGCGTTGATTGGACCTACAGTTGTTAGAACAAGTAAAGCTTTGTGAGAGGGTATACAAATGTGGCTCTGTGTCTTCAGTGACAGTGTGGAGAGGAGTTGAAATTCCTGCTGTAGCAGGTTGAGGTGGCTCTGCTAGCCCCTGGTGCTAGTTAGCCGTGTCAGAGGAGAGCAGCTAGTTTGAGTGCTAGCTGTGCTTATTAATAGTTAGTAAGGTAGTTGTTAAGTTTAGGTATGGGGTAGTATTAGGGATATAAAATATCATCATGCAGAATAAGACATTAATATGTGCTTTATAAGTGCTAATAAACAGCTAATATGCTGTATATCAATATGTAATATCAATTAACATTATATTCACAACTCATAGCTTATTATTAAAACATACGCAATTATACATTTTATAAAATGATTACATTTTTTATTATTTTAATTATTAAAAAATGTTTACATTTATTATAAACAACTATAAAAATGAAAAATTTAAATATATATAGAATATCAGTGGGGGTTTGATGTTAAAAGTGTGGCTGGAAGACAATACTGAGTGCATGTGATCTTTTGGGCTCTTTGGTGTATCGTAGGCTTAGGGAAGGTGAGTCAGGCAGGACTCGTCACTAATGATCTTCCACAAGAACTGCTGTAACATTTTGGTAGGCTACTGCAAACTTTTCCTTGAGCCCAAGAAACACGATTGTCTCTGATCAAATACGTAGTCATTTCATAGTCAATTTTAGCCTTATCTCGAGAGCCTGTCCACTTGTATGATCACTGAGCTATGTCAACATTAGCCCTTGCACAGGGCCCCATCAGAAATCTCAACTCAGCCTTAATATAGATCTGATTACAAGACGCTTGCTCTCACAGACCACTGGTCAAAGCAGCACAATCAACTCATTATCAACACAGACATCAATGAGGCTTCGATCTAATGATACAGAGACAGGACTTTTAGAAACTTGCCTCTTTAGGAACATAAGGAGAGCTTCTTTAGGTGAGGCTGCAGGTCCTTACTATTATTCAGTTACTTCAGTCACAAAGCAATAAACATATTGAGCTTTCTTACATAAGCCATGATGAGCTGATATGTAGCACTTTTTATGTCATAAGGAATATTTACTGGGTTAATACAAT